GTACAGACAATATTCATTTATTTTTCTGTATCTAAAATTCTACTATCTCCTCAAGCTATTGTCCTATTGCCACCAGCCAAACTCCTCAAAAAAAGCGGCTAAGCTCACACAACTTCTATGTTCATAACACTTTTGTATCTAACCTCTTCTCTCTATTCACCTAGCCACCATTTATATTCTGGCCTTTCATGTCTTGCCCAGATTATTACAACAGTCTTCTAAGTGCCTCCCCACTCCAATCCATTCTCCACATAGTTAACAAAATGACTTTACTTAAGCACAGGTCTGGCTGTGTCACTTCTTTCAGTACACTCCAGTGGTTACTTTTTTGCTTTTAAAGCCCTTCACAACTTTGCTTTAAGCTATCTTTCCTGCCTTACTGTACACTGTCTGCCCTCCTAAATTCTGAAATCTAGTCTTCTCTCTATTCCTCACACTTCATTTTCTATCTTGGTACCACCATGCTAAAATGCACCCTCTTTTTCCCTAACTCACTGAACCTTTCTCTTCATTCACAATACAGCTCAAGCACCACCTTCTATATGAAGTCTAGAATTACTAGTGTAGGTACCCTTTCCCTTCTTCTATCCAGATCCCCTTTATGTGTTGTCTTCCCTGGTCAGAATGTTAGAATCCTTGAAGGTAGGGGCTGTCTTGCTTTCATATGCCCAGAACTTAGCTCAGTGCCTAATAAATGCTTTCCCTGGATTTTCATCACATTGTGCTCTTCTGGTTTTTCTCATATGTGACCACTCTTATCTCTGTCTCTTTCGTAAAATCAATATTCACTTTCTAGTTCTCCTGTCTGGGTTTAACCCAGGGCTCTGTCATAGGTCCTCTTCTCTTTCTACACTCAGTGAGCTCATCAGTTTCCATGAGTTCAACTACTACCTCAATGGAAATGATTCCCAAATTTACTTGGCCAGCCATCATCTCACTAGGATCTCGAGCTTGAGCCTCACCTCACCAAAGACCTTCTGGATAACTTCATCTAGTTGGCCTGCAGACTTCTCAAATTTAATATATTCAAAACAGAATTCGTTATCTTTCCACATGTGGCCTTCTAGGTCTTTGAGCTCAGCCTTTTGACTGAGTCCAAGTTATACAGAATAAATACTTTTATTAAGGGGATTTGTTCTGTAAAGTTTGGATTCAGTCAAAGGCCTGCACTTGATGACCCACAGGGGGCCACATGTGGCTTTGTGGCTGAAGGTTCCCCACCCCTAGGACTCTAGGAACAGCTAAAAATAGTAATTATCTTATACAAATGAGGTGCAAGAGGAAGAACCAACACAGAGGAATTAGATGGGAGAGGAGGGCTATTAGTTCTGGAAACCTACTTTCATCAGGAATGGGTTCAAGAGGGAACAATACATATATATCTTAGAAGAGTATAAAATTCTCATAAATTTAGAAAGAAATAAAAAGCCAAGAGGATAGGGAGGAGGGAGAAGATAAGGGAGAAATCTCTAGAGGTGAGGGAATGAGTTAAAGGGGGAGTATAGAAGAGTGTTTAGATTAATGGGAGGATGAGGGAGAGATCCTTGGGAAGATAAGGAAGGGATCTTTAGAGGGGAGGGTGAGGGAACGGGTCAAGGTGGGGTATAGAAGGGTGTTTAGATTTATGGGAATGGTAAGATAAGGGATGGATCCTTGGAGGGGGGGTAGGTTCAGTAACAGGAGGGCAAGGTATCAGGCAGAAGTAAAGTACAGGAGTTAGGAGGAATAGGAAATGAGAGACATTCATAAGAATGAAAACAAAGATCATAAGTAGAATTTGTTAGGGAAAATATATGTCTATGTATGTATGTATGTATGTGTGTTTAGGTTTATGTGTATGTATATATCTATATCCATATATAAATATATTTTTGATTCATTGCAGTCTTGGGGGGAAGGAGGGGGAGGAAGGAGGGAAAAAGAACAAAGTAAAAAGTTCACACTAGCAAACAAAAGAAAAATTACAAGGAAGCAAACAAAAGATGGACAGCTTTCAACACAACTCATAGCATTTATTATATAAGCTTTCTTGAAATGGAAATTTACTGCTTTATATTTTGAATCCTTTCATACATTCTGCTGTGCACATGACATTTTCTTTTTCTTATTTTGTATTTAAGTTTCAACATTTAAGTTTATAATATGTTTCTTTTTATTTTCTTACTGTGTATTTGAGTTTTAGTAACAAAGAAAAAATACTGACAAAAAACAGGTAAGGAAAACAAAACAAAAAAGGTAATATGTACATAGTTATGTACATCAAATAAATACAGGTTAATTTTAGAGGAGGATGTCACTAGCTATTGGGGGAATAAAAAAAATTGGGCTTGAGCTGAGTATTTTGCATATATCTGCTTCTCTTCAGCCATGGGGCTACCATCCTAATTCAGGCCTTTTATCATCTCTTGCCTAGACTATGGCAATAGCCCCTGACTCCAGCCACCCTACCCTCTAATCTATTCTCTCCAAGGTTCTTAAAATCGATATTCTTAAAACAGGAATCTGAATATAAAATGCCATATTCAAGAATTTTCAGTGGCGCAATGTCCCTAAATTACAGTCAACTGTGCACTATTTTACATACTTCACAAGACTTCCCTATCTGACAAATGTTGCTGAAAAAATCAGAAAGCAATTCAGTACAAATTAGGTGTAAATCTCTTACGTACCATGTACCACAATAATCCTAAAATGGATACATGATTTGAATATTAAAGGTCACTACAGGAAAAAAAATGAGGAAGAAAAACAGATAATGTACCTTTGCCAGGTACAGCTAGAGGAAGAATTCTTAACTAAACAAGGGATAAGAGCAATCACAAAGGATGAAATGGCTTATTTCCAATGCATAAAATTTTAAAGCTTTTGAAAAAACAAAATTAACATAACTAGGCTAAGAAATTAAGTTGGGTAGTTGGGGAAATAATTTTTGCATCTATCTCTTTGGTAAAGATTGGATATTTAGTAATCTAACATCAAAAAAAACTGTTCCCCAATGGATAATTGTATAAAGGATGTGAATGAACAGTTCTCAAATGAAGAGCAAACTATTAACAACCATATAAAAAACCGCTCAATATAACTATTAAGACAAATGCAAATTAAAATAACTCTGAGGTTTCACCTCACATCCAAATTGTCAAGGATGACAAAAGCTGGGAAGTCGTTGTTGGAAGGATTGTGGAAAGATGGACACAGTGATACACTTTTGGTGGAGCTGTGAATTAATACAACTATTCTGGAAAGTAATATGGAATTATGTGAAGAAAGTGACTACAATGCCATACCTTTTGACCTAGATCCCACTCTGCTCAAGGAGGTCAATGTCAAAAACAAAGGTTCTATCCACATACAACAAAGTGTAGCAGCAGTTTTTGTAGTTTGAAAGAATTAGAAACAAAACAGAAACCCTTCAAATGGGAAATGGCAAGCAAACTGTGGTATACCAATATAATGGAATATTACTATGCTATAAGAAATGGTGACAATAAAACAGAAGCATGGGAAGATTGACACAAACTGACGCAAAGTGAAGCAGACAGAACAGGAAATTATCATACACCATGACTACATTAACAAACAATCAAAGCTGAACTATGTGAAATTATAATGACCAAGCTTTGCAGAGGTGGGAAACTATGGGTCCTCCTCTATATGTCAGATTTTTTTTATGTGGTTAATTTTGCTGAAATGTTTAATTCTTTTTAAAATTCACTGTTCCAAAAGCCTTATAAGAGCCATCTGGCTGTCTGAAAAGAGAAGGTATATACTGAGAAGTGTGTATAGTGTAAAAAATAAAAATTTCTTAAAAATTGAGTTCTTTCCTATCTTTCTCAACTAATTTCACACAAATTCTCCCTATATTCCGTCCAAACTACACTACTGGCTGCTTGCCATATTCCATCTCCGGTCTCTTTTGACTTTGTAGAGGCTGTGCCCTATGCCTGGAATGATCTCCCTTCTCACCTCTGCCTCTTGGAATCCCTTCAACACTACAACAGGCCTCTCCTACAGTAGTCAGTGTTTCTGAATCTCCCCAAAGGACAGGTCATTTCTACCTATTAAATGTAAACAACTTATAATGGCAAGATGACCTTTTTTTGTCCTTGTACCCTCAGGGCCTAGACCTAGTAGGTCCTTAATAAATGCTTATTGAATGTTAGAATGATTGTTAATCTCCTTTGAGTGACTGTGAATGAATGCAAGAATTTATTGAGCATTTACTACTCGCTAGGCACTGGGAATACAAAGACTTTTAAAAAATGAACAGGCTTTAGTTTCAAGGAGTTCATATTCTAATATGGGAACACAACACAGAAAAGGAAGACATGACCAGGAAAGGAGTTTTGTTTCCAGGGAGCTTGGAGGAAAGTGATAGCATATTAGCAAGCAGAAGGTGAGATAGCCAAGGCGCATGGTTAGATGGGATGTGAAGCTGAAGTAGGTCTGGTGCCTAGGGCCCGTCACATTGTTTCTGTGAAGAAAATGACAATCTATTGCTCTACACCCAGAATCCATGTGATTCCAAGTCATTATTAGTTACCCAGAGCAAAACTCCCTTAACAATCTTCCTTTCCTCATATCTATGCATGCCTGTCCCATTCCTTTGACAATCCTTATGTCACTCTGTATCACACATGTCTTCCTCTTCAAAGTTACTATAATATATATTGAAATGTATGCGTGTTACACATACACACCCACCCACACACACGTACAGTTTTCAATATACCTTGGTTACACTCCTCCCCTCACCCTCTGGAGCTGTTTCTGTTTATATCTTTCTACCGCTAATGCCTAGCACAGTACCTGGTAAGTACGTAGTGGATGCTTAATAAAAGCTTGTTGGTTGAATGACTGACTGATGCTGAGTTCCAGCTTCAATACTTCCACCCTCCATAGCGTCTCTAATTCAAGCCCAGGTTAGTGGATGCTGGGCACCCTTCGTTTCCCCAGGCCTCCCTTCAGTGGACAGAGGAACGAGGAGAACGGTCACTGACCTGGATAGGCAGAATGAACGCCACAGCCTCCGAAGTCGCCCCGCTCCGCCCAGGAAGTAGAGGAACGGGCAGAAACGGAACAATGAGCGCCCAACTTCCTGACAGCGAATATTGGAACAAGACCCTCTGCCCCTCTGACTAGAACTCACTCAGGCTGGAACAGCTGGAACCCCAACAACCACCACGGAACCTTCCGGCTAACGAAGAAACGTCATCACTCCCTGTAACACTCCCCCTTCCGGTAGAGTTTACTTCCGCTGCCGGGGCAATACCACTTCGGGGCAAGTCACGGAAGACGCCTGGGATGTTTACCTTCCGTGGAGGGATCTGGACCGTTTGATGGCGGTCTTTTTCTGGATAAACGGAAGGCTCGCGAGGAGTTCACCGGTTCCCAGAAGGGGACAAATGAGCAAACCCCCGAAGCCCCCTAAAAAAAAAAATAATAGAACGCACGGGTTAAGGCCTGTCCTGGAACTACCCAGTTGGCCCTGGCTGCGGCTGAGGTCTCGGGGCGGAGACTCTGAGGTCTCGGGGAAGCTTAGTTTACAAGCCGCGGGGCGGGGTTCCGGCGGGGCTGGCAGGGCGACTTCCTTCCAGGGCGCGCCTTTTCCTGCAGTGTCTCTTCGCCGCGCGCGTTCTTGCATACTAACCCGCTGCTCCTTCCAATTTCAGGCGAGCTGCGTGGCAGGTTTTTGAGATGGATTTGGGCTCTGCTCAGCGCTCAGTGTTGGAGCTTCTCGGAGCCGTGTCTCCTGGAGACCTTCCTGCGCTTCTAGACTGGATGCGAACCACGCGTAAGAGGACACACTTGCGCGGTTGGGGCTAGGCCTGTTAGCGTCTTGCCACTTGAGCATCCCCAGATAAAGTTCGCTCCGCGAGGGTCTGGCGGCGCACCTCCTCCTCGGCTCTGGGTCATGGGCTGTACTGGCTGTGGCCAGCTCGTAGCTGAAGGCCCGGGCCCGAGCCCGAGCTCGGGAAAAATACTCTAGATTTGGTTTATAGCTTTTCCCACTTACCTTGGATGAGCCCTTCGAGCTCTTTGTGCCCCCACTTTCTTTTTTATCTGTGTTTAGTTCTACAAATCCTTAATGTGGTACCTTAATACTTTGTGCAAAATGTGTACTATCAGCATAAAGAAAGGGAAAACGGAATAAGTGCAGAGGAGAGGAGGTACTGGTTGGGGAGAGGAGTGGTGGAACAATAAAGAGGATGAGTTGAATGAAAGAGCATGGAAAATTGTTAGGATTCTGGAGGAGGAAAAAAAATCGAAGGTGAGATCACTTTTATCAGTAGAGCTTAAGGAAAGATTCATATAGAAGTGAGGCCCTAAGTTGGACCTTAACTTGCAGGGAAGAGGGAGATCTTTCTTTGGCTGGGAGGTTGTGTGCCAGAGATTCAGGTAGAAAAGTTCCTGGCAGATCCAAAAAAAGAATGTATGATCAGTAGTCTTAATTTAATGTAGAAGATAAGACAGGACAAATCTTTAATATGTATGACTGAAAGAGTCCTCTGAGATAGGATTGGAAAAATTGGTTGGAACTTATTTATGTATGTTATTTCAATTTGTCCTTATGGAAAAACCTGCAGAGTAGATTCTTCTTTACCCCCATTTTACAGATGAGGAACCTGAGGTTAAATGACTGGGGTCACAAGCTAGTAAAACTGGGAAGGGGGGTGGTGCAACATGAAGAGTGAGTTGAGCAGAGAATTTAGTGAATAGCATGGCTGGGGCTCCTTTAAAAAGGTGATCCAGAGCAGGGACTTCTCAGTTGTCCAGCTTTAATGTGAAGGTTTTATTGATTGTTTGGATGGGGTTAGGGGGAAGGGGTCAGAGGTAGAGAAAGAAGGATGAATCAAAGAGGACTTCAGGATGTCAGCCTGGGAAAATTGAAGTGCCTTTTCTCCTTACCAAGGCTAACCCCTGTACTTGTTCAAACAATCCCATTCCCTCCCATCTTCTCCAACAAATTGCGCTTTCTGTCATCCCCACTCTTTAACTTATTTTCAATCTCTCCCAATTTGCTGGCTCATTTGTTACTGCCTACAAGCATGCCCATGAGCATCATTTTTCAAAAAACCCTCATTTGATCATTCTGTCCCTAACTCTTGTCCTATATCTTTTCTGCCCTTTGTAGCTAAACTTCTTGAAAAGGCTCTCCAGAATAGGTATCTCCACTTTCTCTTCTCTTACTCTTCTTACCTTTACAGTCAGGCCACCAAAAATGCTTTCCACAAAGTTACTGATGTTGCAGAATCTCAATCTTCCTTCTCCTTGACCTCTCCATAGCCTTTAACACTGTTGATCACTTTTTCCTCCTAGGTTTTTTCGAACAGCATTCTCTCCTTTTGCTCCTTCTCTGTCTCCTTTGTTAGATCCTCTTCTAGATCCAGCCCTCTAACCATAGATGTTCTTCGAAGTTCTGTCCTGGGCCCTGTTCTCTCTCTAAACTGCTTCACTTGCTGAACTCATCAGCTCCATCTCTGTGCTTGTCTGACTCTCATTTTATTATCTGAAAAATGAATATAAGGCTCTATGTAGAAATTGTACTTGGATTCAAATTCCAGCTCTGGTGTATGATCTTAGGCAAGTCACTTAATCTTCCTGGGTCTCAGTTCACTTAGGAAGGTTCTTGTATTTGAGAATTGTAGCTCTCTGAGAAGAACATGATAAATTTAAAAGTCCAAACAACATTCTGAGGGAAACAGAAAACTGCCCAGAAGTTATAAAAAATAGGGAAGTTATGGTTGATAGAATCCACAGATTGCTAACCAAGAAATTAGTCATCAAGAGCAAGGCAGTTTTGTTACTGATTAGATTTAATATATGCTTTAAAAAAAAATCTCTGTCTTTAAGAATTGGAAGAGATATCAATAACAGATGGGAGGAAAAGAGTAAAAACCCAGAGGCTCTGAAGAGTGACTTAAAGAGTCAGAAGAGCTGTCTTTTAAGGAACTTAGCCCCTGTTTTCAGTTGACCTAATGAATAGATGCCCTTGGGCAATGGTTAGGTTGGGGGGGGGGGTTACTGGTGCTTCATTCCCCTTTTCTCTCCTGGCATCTACCACCTTGAGAATAGTCTTTACTTACTCTATTGTGCCATTTTATTTATTTATTTTTTTACTCTGAACTTAAATGCAAAAAAAAAACTATTGAGGATTTTTCCACATTCAGAGTAGAATGCCAAAAGAGATGTATCTCCTTTTTAAACCTTTTTTTTGAAGCCATAAAGCTCCATTCATTATTGCTTGCCTTTAAAAAAATAAATTAGGTAGTAAATGAACCTGGTTACTTTAAAAACTGGGCCTGCTTGTTTATGCCTCTTTTGAAGCTCTCTCTACTTTGCCTTGTGCATTTGAAAAAATATTTCAGTGCCTTTTTTTGGTTATCACCACCCCTACCTAGCCTTTCTTACCCCAACTCTCTTCTCCCTCCCCCAATTAAAAACTGGAGGGTGGGATAGATACCTTTGTAAGAAAGAAGGACAGCCAAGCAAAATGAATCCATATACTGATCATGACCAAAAATGTATCTCTCGTACACACTGGTGCCAAAGCCAAAGGTCTATCACCTCTTAATCAAGAGGTGAAAATATATTTCATCAAAATAGGTCTTCTGGTGGAGAGGTGTTCTACTTTGATCCAGACTTTTTTTTTTTCATTTGCACAGGTTTAATAGTTTTCAAAGTGCTTTTTCACTGGTGTTTTACTATAATCCAGTGAGAGAGCAGATGGCAATATCCCAGTTTTACAAGTGAGAAAAAACTAGAGCCTAGAAAGATGAAATGATTTGCTCAAAGTGACACTGTTAGTGTGATCCAGACTTCTAAAGGCTTCCATAGTTTTCCCCCTCTCCACATTTGTTACCACTATACAAATTGCAGTATGGTGACTGACTTAATCAATACCCACCTTACATATAAATTATTCACCTGATTTTGCTCACTTCATTCCGTATCAAGTTCTGTCTCCCAATTCTAGAACAGATCATTAAAGCAATGGTTGAAAATTGTCAAGAAGGGGAAGCAGTTGTTCCATCATTTTCTACCTGGCTTCCCACCCATCCTTCTCCATAGTCTCAAAAATCTATTCATCTTACAATTTCAAATCAGCTAAGGAACACCCTCCTCCTTAGTCCCAATGCCCCTTTCCCCCTGCTTCCCTCTGACTGAAGAGGTTGGGGGGTGGTGAGAGTGGGGGCAGGGTAACATGGAACGCCTGTCCGTAGGTCCCATGGATTTGTCATGATCAAGTTATTCCAAATTAACCTTGTTTGCTTTTTGAACAAGGTTGCCAAACTAGTAGACCATAGAAATACATAGAATTTATTTAGATTTTAGCAAAATAAATGATAGAAGTATCTTGTCCTGGTTTTATGGATGCAGTGTATGCAGGATGACAGTTTTGTGTTGGCCAGACTTTAAGGGTGAAGTTGTTAACAGAGGCAGTAGACTGTTATGGATGGAGAGTCAGGGAAACCCTGGACAAGTCCTTTCACTTCTCTCAGTCTCAGTTTCCTTATCTCTAAAATAGAGATAATAAAATATGCCTCCCAGGGTGCTGGTGAAAATCATGAGATAATTATTATAAACCTAAAACACTATTTAAATGCTAGGTATTCTTATTAGCTGCTGTTATTATTAGTATTTCTATATTAACATTGCAGGAGGTTTCCAGGGGAGTACCCTATGGATCTATTCATGGCCTTATGCTGTTTTAACATTTTTATAAATGATCTCGGTAAAAGCATAGATAGCATACTCAGGACACCAAACTGGGTGGGTTAACTAACATGTTGGATGGTCAAAGTCAAATTCCAAAAAGATCTTTCCAGTCAAGAGCACTGAGCTGATTCTAATAAGATGAAATTTCACAGTTATAAATGTAAAGATAGACTTCATTTATTAAATGCCTAATCTGCAAATCACTTACCAACAGCTGAGAAGATAAAATTTCAGGTAAGATAATCTTATGTTCTTATGTAGTTTGCAGGACAGCAGAAACCAAAGAAAGTTGGTAAAAAGCCCTGGAGCATATCTTTTGATGGAAGAAATCTACTTATTTTTGTTCCTTTGTGGAAAGAAAGGTGAAACATACTGTGATCCATAAAGGATTGGGGTGCCAAACCCCATTTTGTTACATGATATACCTGTTGTTTATCTAATCCTGCCTTTTCAAATTGGGTAGTTCATAGTACTTGTTCTCTCATAGTACAGTCTGATCCCATCGCTGTACTGAAACAGTTCTTTGAGAAGTTACTAGCAATCCCTTAACAGCTAAATC